AGAAAGAAAGAAAGAAAGAAAGAAAGAAAGAAAGAAAGAAAGAAAGAAAGAAAGAAAGAAAGAAAGAAAGAAAGAAAGAAAGAAAGAAAGAAAGAAAGAAAGAAAGAAAGAACAAGTTGCAGGACTTTTCTGTTGTTGTTGTTTGGTCTTGCTTGAGTGCCTTTAAATGAACGGGCATCTGTAGCTTTTTAGACATGGAACAAAGCCCTTTCTTCTATGGAAAGCCTCTTCTAATTAGCTTTAAAAGGCAGCAAAAGCATCTAATGAAGTACGTTTGTTTAGCTTGTTCATAATTTAAGTGAGAAGCCATCCAAATTGTTTTATCAGTGAAGTGAAGAGTTCAGATTTCACCACAGGCGTTAAAAAGCTAAAGGAGAAGGGGTGGTGGAATTATATTGGTTTTCCAATAAAACTCTTGCGTAGTTAAAACAGTCCAATTTAAGGTGGGGTTAGAAAATAAATATTTAGGAATCTGCTCATTATTTTCTGTTTCCTCTCCTTCCCTCTCATTTAAAAGAAAGTGTCATAGGGAGGGGGAATGACACTTTCGATATAATGTCCCCTGTTCTTTTCTTACCAGGTAATAAGTCTCATTTAACTTCTGGATAAATATGGACTGAATTGCTCTGACAGCTATTATTGCCTTTTTAAAAAAAGTCCCTTTCCCACATGCATTTTAAAATCTGTTATTTTGTGTTAAAAGAAATCAATATGGAATACATTTTAGTGAAAAGGTTTTAAAATTTGAATTCAAATGGTCTTTGTTCCCTTGTTTTTTTTTTCCTCAACGTAATTTGTCACCTTTCAGGCAGTGGAATTTCCTAGTTACTTAGATCACAGCATCAGATGTTCTGGGAAGCTGCCTCTAGATATTTCTGTTTTTCATTTTTACTTACTCATGTTTCGAGCATGTAACGTATTCATAGCTCGTGGTAACTTTAGATGCCTATCGTGATGATGGATACAATCACCACAACCCGTGATGATCATCACTATTTTAAAAAACAGTGGTCTTTGGGTTTTCACTCTACTTTGGGGGTAAACCAAGATTCGCATTTCTAATCCATTTTTCAAACATAACCAACCCAGTAATTCTCAGCCCAATGGTCTTAATTGAAATGTGTCACTTGTGGGGAAAGGTGAATTGTGAGATGTTTTTCAGCTCAAGCATCTGGGACGGTCATTGGCATTAGTTAAAAACAGACCCATGGAAATAAACTTCCAAGGGACACGGTCAAGTCGAAACAGACCACGTTAAAGCGAATTCGTTCCGGCTTGCATTTTCCCCCATTGCAGTTTAAGACGGGAGTTTAAAAGTGGCGCATTTGGGCCCGGTGAATGATGCCCTTTCACCCGGAGTGGCGGGTCCGTTCCTCCTACTCCGTGGCCAGTTTCCGTGGCCCGCGGGGTGTGCTCACTCCCATCCATACCGGGGCTGCTTTGGATCCACAGTCTGCTAATAACGACCATTAGCAAGTTGATCCGGAGGGGGTGCGCGCGAGCGGCTCCGGCATCATTGTTATTATTTATTTTGCAGCCCTAATTAACAGGGCAAGGGGGTGGGGGAAGGGAAGGGAAGGGAAGGGAAGGGAGGGGGAAATGGTGCGGAGGAAAGTCCGGCCGCCGTCTGATTTCGGCGCCCATCGCGCAGCCCTTGCGTAATTGTCCGGCTCCGCGGCGACAACAGCCGAAAATGAGGTGGGCGTCTCCAGGCCCTTTTGTGAAAACGCGGCCAAGGTCAAGATGGTTTTTAATGCGAATTTATTAGCAGGAGGTGGGGGGAGGAGGGGGAGGGAATCAACAAACCATCCTCTAATTAGCAAAGCCCAAATAAAATGTGCCTGCAGGCTTTCCTAGTCCCCCCCTTCCTCTCCCCCCCCCAATCACCTCACATTCGCCCTTCTCCTCGCATCTCCTTCTTTAGAGAATAAAAGCCCTCACCAGCAAAGAGAGAGACAACGGCAAACCCTCAGAGGAGGTGATAATATTGGACGGGCGTGATGAATGTTTTATAGGTAATTGCTGTATATCTTTCTAATTTTAAGGAGGAGGAGGAGGAGGAGGAGGGGACGAGAGGAGAGGCGTGGGGAGGGGAAGGAGGGATGGAGTTCATGCTTCCATGGCTAGGTTTTGTTTTGCGTTTTTCTGATGGCTGGGCAAGCTGATCCAGATTGCGGGAGGGGGGCGGGGGGAAGCGGGAAGCAGCTCTCCCCACTACCACCACCCCAGACATTGCCAAAGTAGCCCAGGCAAAAGGAAAGAGCCAACGAGGAGGGGGGGGGGAAACAAACTTGCATCATTTCTCAACCCTTTCACAACTCCTACCCACCCCAGAAAAAAGAAACCCACAGGCAAACTCCGTCCTCAGGGTGGCCGCCTTTTATCTCCTTTCGCTCGCCCCTAGCAATAATATTTATACATACATACATACATACATACATACATACATACATACATACATACATACATACATACATACATACATACATACATACATACATACATGCATGCATGCATGCATGCATGCATGCAT